TGCATTGAATCTGTAGATTGCTTTGGGTAATATAGTCATTTTCACAGTGTTGATTCTTCCAATCCAAGAGCATGGTATATCTCTCCATCTATTTGTATCATCTTTAATTTCTTTCATCAGTGTCTTATAATTTTTTGCATACAGGTCTTTTGTCTCCTTAGGTAGATTTATTCCTAGATATTTTATTCTTTTTGTTGCCATGGTAAATGGGAATGTTGTCTTTGGTTTATTACTTTGCCAAGAAATGTACCAGTTCTTTGACACTGAAAACAGGAACCCACCCCTTTGTTTTTAACCTGCTGACATCTTGTCCTTGATGTGACCATGATGCCAGGTGATACCCAGGAAATAGACTCTTTTTCAGCTCTGGTGCTTTTCATTCAGATAGCCCCCTCCTCCTGATACAGTCAGCTGCTTGCTGACACTGCCCAGCGCTGGGGCCCCCAGTGCTCTGTTGCTGACATTCTGGATCCCTTGGCACCTTAGTGTGCAATGCCAGCCAGCTCCTCTCTGAAGCTCACCCTCTGCCAGGTCGTTCCTGACCCTCCTTCAAAACACGGTGTGTTTTATCTTCCACCTAACACATCATGAATTTCTTTTGCCCTGCATCCTACTTCATGTAATCCTTAGCAAAGAATTACTGATGATGTTTATTGAGAACGTACCTGATGCTAAGTCAAGTGCTTTCCATACCTTATCTTATTTCATAGTTACAAAAATACTATTCAGTATGTTTCCAAACCCCAGTTTTACAGAGGAGGAGACTGAGGCTTACAGAGGTTAATTAATTTACCTACATGGCTAATCAGAGCAGAGCTAGGATTTAAATCTAACACTGCTTTTGACCAGAAAGCCCTGATTCTTAGCCAGGAAACCATACTGCCTTACAGAAAATACAGAAAGATTGTTCACATGGTAAACAGTCACTTAAATAATATTTCTCAATGAGTAAAATGGCTGTTGAAAAGAAATATATATATATATATATATTCATTGCCCACCACGTAAGGATCCATCTCTTAAGTTTTAGCTCAGGACTGTGTCTTCCTTTGCTGGCAAACTTGTACATCTCCCTTCCATAGCCAAAGCGAGGATCTTAAAGCTTGGGTTTCCCCAGGTGGCTTGGAGTGAAATTTAGTCCTTAATTGCAGCAGCTGTTTTTAGCTTACTTGGGATAATGCTCTTCCTTTTTTTGAACATGACTTTATTTATCTATATGGCTGGTTCAATTGCACGTGTTTTCTTTCCCACTAGACTATGAGCATTTTGGGTGAATGAACTGAATACGTACCTAATTTTGTAAGCTGCTTTTTCCAGAAGCAATTATGCTGGTCTTTCAAGTGGGACTCGGTTGTGACCAGTTTTTTCTGCAAAGTACTCAGCGTTTCTTCTGTGGCCGAACGTGGCTTGGACACGCGTGTTTGAGTATAACCTTGTTACCGCAGCTGTAAAAATGTGTGTGTGGCCGGTCCAGAGCTTCAGGCAACCAAGTAAAAGGTGGTAATGGGAAGCTATTTACAAAATGCTGAGAAACTAGGGTGATGAGCGGTGAAATGGGGAGAAATGCCTTCCGGGCCTGTATCGACCTGAGGGGGGCCTCCCTCCAGGTGGCAAAATTAGAGAAGATCGGTGTGGGTATTCCCCCATGTTTAGGAAGGATTTAAATGATGGTTAAAAATAACAACTGGTGAGACTACTGGGTCCCGGGGCCAGTGCTGAGAGGGAAGCGTTAGCCATTGTTGATGTCTCATCCCCTGGACCATGGGAATCTGTCCAGGCTGAAATGACCATGGCCACACATGGCGCCCCAAATTAGGACTGGCCTTAGGAAAGGGAGAGCAGTCCTAGCTCGTGCGTCTGATTCTCACCTTTAAACCTGTTTGGTCTGAAATTTAACTTTGAGAAAAGAGGAGATGGTAATTGAAGTCTTCTTCCAAAGAAAGGTTCTTGCCTATTTATGTATAAGGACAGATTTGGCCAGGAGGGGGAAAGTCTGACTTATATCAATAGTTAGCTGAATATGTACCCCTTATAACTGGCAAAGGCATGCGTACTCTGGAACACGCCCCCCCCCCCCACCCCGTCACTTGCAATTGGCCTGTGGATGTATGTACGTTTTGTTAGCTGTGGCAAGAGTTAAGCCTGGGTTGGAGGCTGGCGGCTGGCTCTTGCCTCTGCCATGCGTTTGGGGCCCAGAACGTTTGTGAGAGTTGCCCCAGTTGTTATGATGAGAGAAAAGTACCTTTGATAGAAATAGAGAAATCAGGAAGTGTGGCCTAATTTTTAGGAAGACAATTAGTTCATTTTTCTACATCTTGAGTTTGAAATGAGAGTTCGACGTCCAGGTGGAAATGTCTGGTGCTGAGGTGAGCCTGCTTAGTTGAAAGAGAGCTTAGGCGGCTTGTGTTCTAGATCGGATTCTTTCACTAACTGGCATCCTGCTCTTGGTCAAGCCCTGTAACTTTTAAGAGTCTCTTGGGTTGATCTCTAAGTCAGCAGCTCTCAGCCCATACAGGGGCATGCTGGGGTGAGCTCTAGTTGGGAGGGAGAGAGAGGAAGGGGCGTCCTCTCGGGCCTGTCACTCAGTGGTGTCACAGGGAAAAGAAGACAGGGGCCCCCGCCCCCCTCCAAACATCCTTCATCAGGGACAGTTGCTGTCATGAGTGTGGCTTGAGGGATGGCAAGGTTTGGGAACCCTGAAGCCCTGAGCAGTCATCCCTAGAGACTGGCCTTCTGTCGCTGTCTCTTCCTGTAACTTACACCTTGTTACTCAGCAGTGCCCGGAGGGGCCGCTAGGACCACTCCAGCTTAATGCACAGAGGCAAACTTTAGTGCCCAAAGGGACCCTATGGGGGACTCACATGGAGAATGATAGGTGTGTGGGGAGAGAGCACAGGGGCCGATTCTCTCCCACAGAACCCCTGTCAGGGAGGCCCTCAGCCTCTGCTTGGATGCCCCCATTGGCGGGGAGATTACCCCTTCTGGTGCTGCCCAGTTTACCTTCCTGGAGCTCTGTTAAAAGGGTGTTCCCTACCCACACCCTAGAATTGACTCCCCCTCCTGCCTGCCAATTCCCTAATTCTGCTCAGAGGCTTCTCAATCCTCTTAGGCCCCTTTGCAGATGGAGAAGCAGAACCGGACATGCCCCATGGCTCACTCACTATAACAGAGCTTGCTCTTTCCCCTATGGAGAGATCCAACTTTCTCTCTCTCTCTCTTTTTTCATATTCTTTTCCATTATGGTTTATTATAGGATATTGAATGTAGTTCCCTGCGCTAAAAAAATAAGACCTTGTTTTTTTTTTAACATCTTTATTGGAGTATAATTGCTTTACAATGGTGTGTTAGTTTCTGCTTTATAACAAAGTGAATCAGCTATACATATACGTATATCCCCCTATCTCCTCCCTCTTGCGTCTCCCTCCCACCTTCCCTATCCCACCCCTCTAGGTGGTCAGAAAGCACCGAGCTGATCTCCCTGTGCTATGTGGCTGCTTCCCACTAGCTCTCTATTTTACATTTGGTAGTGTATATATGTCCATGCCACTCTCTTACTTTGTCCCAGCTTACCCTTTCCCCTCCTTGTGTCCTCAAGTCCATTCTCTATGTCTGCGTCTTTATTCCTGTCCTGCCCCTAGAAGACCTTGTTTTTTATCCGTTCAATATATAATAGTTTGCATCCCAAACTCCCAATCCAACCCTCCCCTGCCCCCCCGCCCTTGGCAACCACAGGTTTGTTCTCCATGTCTGTGAGTCTATTTCTGTTTTGTAGATAAGTTCATCTATGTTCTATTTTAGATTCCACATATAAGTGACATCACATGGTATTTGTCTTCCTCTTTCTGACTTACTTCACTTAGTATGATAATCTGTTGGTCCATCCATGTTGCTGCAAATGGCATTATTCCATTCTTTTGATGGCTGAGTAGTATCCCATTGTATATATGTACCACATCTTCTTTATCCATTCATCTGTCGATGGACATTTAGGTTGTTTCCATGTCTTGGCTATTGTAAATAGTGTTGCTATGAACATAGGGGTGCATGTATCTTTTTGAATTAAGAGTTTTGTCTGGATATATGCCCAGGAGTGGGATTGCTGGATCATATGGCAACTCTAGTTTTTTGAGGAACCTCCCTGCTGTGAGAGACCCATCCTTCTAACTGCGTCTCTCTTCCCTCCCTTTCACCTTAGTCTGGAGCCTCTGGCCCGCCTTGCACTGGTGGGAACTTCAAAGTCCCGGGGGTGGTGCTCTGGTATGAGGAGCTTGGAGGGTTTGTTCATCTGGTCTAAGGGGATGCGATGCTTTCATTTCCTGTGAGCATGCTGGACGCTGCTTTGTTTTGGGACACCTTGAGATGCTGCCCACCTTTCCTGCAGGGCAGGCGTGATTGGTGTCTAAGAGGGCTATGCTCACGAGCCACTCGTGCAGGCAGGTGCAGGGCTCCTTCTCCGAGGTACAGACTGTTGTCTGTGTTTACTCAGAGTCTGGCATTTCCGACCTGCTTTGAGTGCAGCGTAAGTGCAGCACCTGCTTTACCTGGGAAAGCGAAACAGTTGGATTTCCGCACGGTCACGGCTAAGACATATGGTCACTGGGCAGCCTCACATTCTGGGGTGTGCAGTCCTTTCCTAGGAGGATGGAGGAAGCTTTTATCAGGCCAGGGAAAGGAGCAGAGAGTATCCTTGTTTGCATGGAGAGACAGTTGGGTGATACCAGGGTATCCCACAGTCTGCCAGGTCCGCATGGCTCAAGTTCCTCATTAAATGGGGAGAATGAAGTAAGACGTACAGTGAAGGAAGGGACAGAACTTGGGATCCTTCGGGAATTGCTCTGGCCGCGGGGACCCTGGAATTCTCTGACTTTCCCTCTACCAATGTTCTTGTTATTTAAAAAATACTCCTGGCCATCTGAACACCAGGGTGGTCCTTCAGGAAAGGAAAGGAGGCATGGATGATGATGTCTTTCTTTCCCCTGCCCCCTGTCTCTTGTGAGCAGGGAGAAGATGCCTTTTCACCACGTGACCGCCGGCCTGTTGTACAAGGGGAATTACCTCAACCGATCTCTGTCTGCTGGCAGTGACAGCGAGCAACTGGCTAACATCTCTGTGGAGGAGCTTGACGGTAAGGAGCCCGCCTTGCGTGGGAGGTGAGCCACCGAGGGAGGCATCTGGGGCCATTGTGCGTCTAAGACGCTGGCCGTCAGCTGTGGCCAAGTCTAACCGTGATGCAGCAGGAAAGAGTTCAGAGATCACTTCTGCCTAAATGACTTCTTTGTGTGGGATGGACCTGGTAGCCTGAAAAATCTATGGTGAATATTTCGGTTCCTTTGGATACCACAAGGAACCCTCTGACTGGGGAGACAGGCTTCTGCTCGTGACACGTATTTTCCAATTGATGGAATCTTGGTCGCCAGTAGTGTTGCCCTGTTTCCATCTTCTCATTCACCATGGGGCCCAGCTGCGGGGAGGTCATAGACCTGTTCATGGCCGTCTCTTGACTTGTGGCCATGGTACTTGGAATCCTGCCCAGATCAGAATCATCTGGAAGCTGTGTCTAGGTGGGAATGGCCGGCAATTATTTTGATTGCCTCTGTGCCTCTGTAACAGTGTAGCCTTGGCTTTGGGATGCGAACGAACCTGGGGACATGGTGACTGAATTCATCCTGGGACAGTGCCCCTTTGTATCCTGGGGAGATCAACTCCTTGATTAAAAAAAAAAATTAAAAGAAGGAAGAAGGTTTTTGTTTTTGTCTTTTAGAATAGAGAATTAGGTTGATTCAGCCAGATGTTTGCCTAGGCATCTGCTGAGGCCACGCCAGATTGGTTTCCCTTCTTGTTTTGAAATGCTGTGTTCCTGGTGACACTGTTTTACAACAAGAAGTTTAAGTTTACTTTCTAAAATAGGGAAGTTAAAATTACCCCATATGGCCCATGTCTTTGCTTTGAGTATAATGGTCTGAACCAGTGTGATTTCTTTGTGCACATTTCTTACAAGGGGTATGGTAGGCGGGGAGATTCATCTCTGGGCCAGGGAAGACAGGCTCACTTCATGAAGGGCACGAGATGGGGCAGGCAAAGGACAGGGCCGTCGGATAGCTTTCTTGCTCTCACCCGCGTTGTTTGCTTGCTTCTCGACAGGCATACCATGTTTTATTACGCTTCGCTTTATTGCACTTCGCAGATAATGCATTTTTTACGGATTGAAGGTTTGGGGGGCAACACTGCATTGTCAGATGCTGGTTAGCATTTTTTAGCAATAAAATATTTTAAAATGAAGGTATGCACATTGTTTGTTTGGACCTAATGCTATCACACATTTAACAGACTACAGCATAGTGCAAACGTAACTTTTATATGCGCTGGGAAACTAAAAGATTCGGTGATTCGCTTTACTGTGCTATTTACTTTATTGCAGTGGTCTGGAACCGAGTGCGCGGTATCTCTGAAGCCTACCTGTAGAGGCTTGTTTATGTCCATGATGGAGCAGTGGAGCTCAGTGGCTGGTGGGCTGGGTCTGGAGGAGAGGCCAGAGGATATTAGAGGAAGGGGAGTGATGTGGGCAGAGCCAGACTCCCTAGGCCCAGCACCTGCTCACTGTGGTCTGGACAGACTGGGGGCCAGAGAGGAGAGCAGTATCCTCAGATCTCCTGGCCTTCAACTGGCCAGAGGATATTTGGACAGACAAGGACACGGAAGCAGAAAATAGAGCCCTGACCTCCTCCAAAATGAGCCCATCCTGGTGGCCACAAACAAGGCCGAGGCTGAGCTGGGTGTGTTGGCAAAGTGAGGTGAGGCCCAAGCTTTCCTGTATCCTGGGAAGGAGTCCTACCTAGTGGAGAGCAGGGCAGTGGTGCATTGATTTGGGAGGGGGGCTGGTTGCTGGTCCTCCAGTTTTAGTCATCACTTAGCAGGGGCGACTGGGAGCCTCCTGTGTGGAGCCCTGTGGAGCAGAGGCCATGAGACTTGGGCAGAAAGTCTGTGTGTTTCGGGCAACTCTTTTTTTTTCTTTTAAATTGATGTTTCGTTGATTTACAATGTTGCGCTAGTTTCAGGTGTATAGCAAAGTGTTTCAGTTATACATATACATATGTATATATATTCCTTTTCAGATTCTTTTCCTTTATAAGTTATAACAAAATATTGAGTATAGTTCCTTGTGCTATACAGTAGGTCGTTCATCTGTTTTATATATAGTAGTGTGTATAAGTTAACCCCAAACTCCTAATGTATCCCCACCCCCTTTCCCCTTTGGTAACCATAAGTTTGTTTTCTCTCTGTGGGTCTATTTCTGTTTTATATATAAGTTCATTTGTATCATTTTTTTTGATTCCACATACAAGCGATATCATGTGATATTTCTTTTTCTCAGTCTGACTTGCTTCACTTAGTGTGATAAGCCCTAGGTCCATGCATGTCGCTGCAAATGGCATTGTTTCATTCTCTTTTTTGGCTGAGTAGCATTCCATTGTATAAATATACCACATCTTCTTTATCCGTTCATCTGTGGATGCTCCTTTGCGTGGCTTCCAGGTCTTGGCTGCTGTAAATAGTGCTGCAGTGAACAGGGGGTGCATGTATGCTTTTGAATTATGGTTTTCTCCGTATATATGTTGGGCAACTCTTGCAGAGGCTGCGATGCCTAACCCAGTGAAGTTTGGAAATCGTCTATGGCTTTCACATACCCTGGCTTTCCATTTTTCTTCCTCCTCCTTCCCAGCTTTGCCATGAATAATCAAGAGATGATTTTTCCAAGACTTCTCAGAGTGATGGCTTTTTTCTCTGTGAAATCTGGGCCACTGTCAGGGCGTATGGCTTTTCAAGAGATCCACTGCCTGGATTTCGGCCCTTCTCCACTCGGGCACTGGCTGAACTCTGTTCTTGGGCAGGCAGCAGAGCTCACCATCCTGTTGTTTCTGTCAGGCACAGGCAGCTGAATGGGGCTGAAAGGCGCCTTCTCAGCAGGTGAGACTAGCGGGGGGGGGGGGTAATTCTCACAGCCCTGGAGGTCCAGGTGGGTGGCCTTGGCCCTGGAAGCCCTGGTTGTGGGGGGCAGGGGTCCCTGGTTGAGTGAAGCTGGACTTTATGGCCTGAGGTCGGCTGGGGAAGATGCTGTCTTTGTCCTTCAGGAGGGTAATCCAGGCTCTCAGCCTGGAGAAAGGCCATTTATTTTCTAATGGAAGATTCCTTCTACTTATTTATTTATTTATCTCTGCCAAGGTGAACCCTGAGTTATGACTGCTTACGCTTCGTTACGAGCATCTTGGGGCTCCAGGCAGGGCTGTGAGATGTGTTTTGAGTGCAGAACAGGCGGGCAGGGTCTGAAAACCAACTGGCTGGAATCAGTTCAGAGGACTGCAGCTTGGTTCTCGGGGAAGCCGGTTTCCGAGACTGTGCTTGTTTGCCGTTCTCTTGGAGCTGCCTTGTGTCAGCCGAGCCCTAATATCCTACTGCTCGGGGCCGCTCATTTATCCTCACGGGACATGTGGTGCTGCACAGGGAGTAGATGTGTTGGACGCTGGTGGATATTGAAGCATCCTTTGTGGTCCAGCCACCTTGGGTGCAGATGTTATTTGGGTACCATCCCCGCCCCGGATGGCTGCAGCCTTTTGCTTATGGAACACCAAGGGCAGGTTCCCTCACCTGGTCAGTGTTTGTCACTGGGGATGGAATGCCCCTTTCCTTCAGTGTAAGGATCAAGGGCGCCCAGTCCATGAGAGGTTACCCTCTGAGAACGAGGCCACTCAACATGCAGGCCACCTCCAGTTGCCCTTCGCTCTGGGAAGTTTCTATTTCTTCTCTTTAAACAAAGCTTATGAGGAAATAAGGCAAAGCTGCATCAAATTGGCCAGACTGGAATTGGAAATCACCCAACAAACAAACTCAGCAATGATGAATTGGTTGAGATCCTTCCTTCCTCTCCTTCCTTCCTCTTCATTCATATTTTCATTCCTATTCATTCATTCATTACAGGAATGTTTACCCAAGTGCTTTCTGGGTGGAGGAGGAATTCAAAGAAGTATAATCTTCGTTGCCTGGCTCAAGGATTTTACAGTCTACTCAGGGAGTTTATGTACATACAAAATTTATTAGCAGTGTCTTGTACTTTTAGAGTGTGTCATGTGGGATTTTATTAGATGCATGAATTATAATTTTTTAAAAACAGTTTTTTCATTGCTATTTATTGAATACTCTTGTGAGGCTGTCTTAATCTTAAACTGAGCTTGCCTCTGTCTGAAGTTGACTCATTTTCGTTAATGTATGGTGTTCCATTGTATATAAATATACCTCAATTTCCGTATCCTTTCTAGTCAGGATGGATATTTGGGTTGTTTCCAGTTTGGGGCTATTAGGATGTAATCAACCACCCCTTCTGTTGCAGCTGTGATGTTGGGGGCTGCTGTCCTCACGGCTCCCTGTGGCCACTGTGAAATGTCTGCGTGTGGGTATTTCACGTTATTTTTGCCAGTAACAGTGTCAGCCTCTCAGATTAATTTCTTGGGTCTTCCTTTTAGCCTAGGTTAGTTTGCTGTCACATCTTGGATGGTTGTTATTTCTGTTTTTTTCTTCAGGAATGCCTGCCATTCTAATGCTAGATCTTCATTCGATGTTTTCCACAAAATGCGTCTCTTCTCACATCATTTTCCTCTGTTTTGCACTTCTACGTTCATTCTTGAGTCTGTCTACCACCTCGTTGATTTAGTTGTTTGCAGTCACTGAAAAAAATTTGTTTTTGATTCCCTTTAGAGTGTATTTTCATTATGGATGAAAGTTTCAGTTCCTCTGTTGTTTGATTTTATTTCAGTAGCTCCCCCTTAACTTTTTGGTCAAAGTATAATACAGAAAAGTATTATTGCACAGTTCAATTCTTATCAAACATGAACATACATGCAGCAACCACCCAGGTTAAGGAATAAGGTGTTACCAGCACCCTGAAGTACCCCTGAGGTCCTTCCTAATACCTCTTCCTCAAAGACAACCACTGCCCTGAATTACCTATCATCATTTAATTGTGTTTGTGTTTTTCCTTCATCTCAAGGGAGTTATATTATATTTATTGTTTTTCATCCAACCTCTTTTCTTCAACATTATACTTGTGAGGCTCAACCACGTTTTTGAGGGTAG